TTGAAACAAAAAAAAAAAAAAGAGTTCCTGAAAAAAATAGGCCTCCATGTTCATGTCGTGTTGTAATTGGTGCCCGCCTGCCAGTACTGCAACCACAGGGCCCGCGGGCGCAGCCTTTTTCTGCAGCAGGTCCCTGAAATCAAGGGTGCTTTGCAAGTTGCCGGCCGGCCATCTTGGTCGGCTCTCGACTTGCCACAACTCAGCAAGGGCAGGGTGCTACCATGTGCTAACCTCACCCAAGTACTTCTTTAGACTTAATCGAGGCTGGGTGCAACCAAGCTGCTGTGTCAGTGGCTGCGCCCCACTGCGTGTGACCACACAACTCTTTGGCCGGAAGCGTCACCCCAGGCAGCATCAAAGGAATGTGCAACAAAATGACAATGGGCGTGTCTCTGCCGACGCTTTCAACTTGCAAACGAGCAAATTCTAACTGATTAGCATCTACTTGATAATTGGAGTTGTCAATGAAAAGCAGCATCAGTCCCTTCACCATTGTGCAACCATATAACACGCCGATGCCAGGTCGATCCCAGTAGCCCAATGACAAATAGCAGGACCCTCCGTTTGAAAGGCTTTGCTCGTAGAATGGCCTCCGCAGCAACAGCAAACAGCAAGGCTCTGCGTGACAAGGCCCTGCAGCCTGAAGGTGGATGCCAGCTCCGGTATTCCTTAAGACAAAACAACGGCAAGTCTGTGTTGCTGCAGTATCTTCCATGTGCACATGCACAGGAAATGCCACAAAGCAGCGAGCTGCATCGTAGCTTGACGCTCCTTGTTGGCCCTCCAGCAGCCAATCGTGATTGCCGGAAGTGAACACGAAACCTTTGCCTGAACTTCTCGTGGCGGTTGCAAGCTGACTGTTCTGGTCATCTTAGACATCTGCACAACCCACCTGAAATTCGAAGCTGCTCGAGCACCCATTTCACAGTTTCGTTAGACGGGAAGTTCAAAATGTCACCGCCTGCACATTGCAGCGCTACATTCGCTGCGCACACGATGCTGCGGACACGATGAAACGGTTCCAGCCAATCAAAGCAAGAGGCAAGAAGCCTAGAACTAGGAGGTCCACATGTAGCTCTTGAGCTAGACCCACAAGTCGCGAAAACCTGAACGGCATGGCATGCTCACCATAGGCCCAGTCTGTGAAAAAAGGCACAGTGACAACTGCGCAGGCCCGTTCTCAAGGTCCCGACTCTTGTTGTGGAGTTGTGACCGACTTCGTATCACGATTTCTGCTCCTAAAAGAAAGAATTTTCATGCAGAGTGAACTTATCAACCTGACTGCTACCTGAAGTTGGTAGGCAATCACTGGCCAAACCGAACATGTCGCTCATCCATCGATGCCATCCTTGAGAAGGCATTGAACATGCGTGACGACCGTGGAGGGGCCTGAATCAAGGCGAGACTTGCTGCATAGCCAGCAATGGTCTGCACCCAGCCACACCACCAAATTCGCAAACACCCGGCCTCATTGGTCAGTGAAATGTGGCTATCGGTGATGTGCAGCAACCGCACGGCCGCCAAATCAAAAAGGTCGGCCTGCAGGACCAACTAGCTGAAACCAGCTCGCATCTCGCACAAATCCGCACAGCAGCCGCACAGCAGCTGAGCGAGGCTACGTGCCTGGAAGTTTCCTGCGCTCCCGGCAGTCCAAAGGCAAAGCCATGCTGTGACGAAGCTAGGATTGGAGCAGCATCTCATAATTTATGCTCTTGTGCCCAAACACACGACTGCGTCCGAACAGCCGCAAATGCCACAAGGGTGCAGCCTGCAAAGCCAACACAGAAGATATGCCAACATCCACATGCAATTTCACTTCCGCCATCATGCAGCTGATTGGGATCCCTAAGGCTTGGCCTTTGCCGAAGCATGATGCAGGGCAAGGTGCATCTCAGGCCGATCCCCAAGCACATATGTACACTGGCTTGCGGAAGCTGCAGAATGTTAAACCTTTGAATCGATAAGAAGATCAAATACAGTTTTCAACTGGCGGTCAAGCGTGAAAGCTCTCGCCACTCGTAGCTGATTTGCCTCAAGAAACCGCGCACCAAGGCTTGACCTAAAGGCGGATCTGACGTCAACAGCTCCTGGTACCTACTCTTCTCCAGCACCAAGAGCGTCGTTGATTCGGATTCATCTTCTTCGCTAGGCGCGATGGCTGTGTGCTCGTACGGGAAATGATTGACCATCGCTAGGAAACCGATGAAATCTCCAGGGCCTGCAATGCAAACCAGCCGGTCGCCCTTCCCAAGCTCCGCTTCTCCAAGTGCGGGGGTCCTGTCTCTATTTGCCCGGCTTCGATGAGCATAAGCATGAAGCGTGCCCTCCACAACGCAAGCACACTTCATGCACTCCTCACCTGCGCGCCACAGGACGGTACCTGGCTTCACGATGGTCTTCTCGAAAAGACCCAAGACTTTTTCCAAGGCAAAGTCTTGCGAGATGTCTTCTGGCAAGAAATCACCAAAGTACCGCTTCAGCACCTCGCGCATGAAGGCTTCCTCAGACCCAAGCAATGCTTGCGACTTGCTCAATAGACGCAGGCCTATGCGAGCCAGCACACCATCTTCGCAGCGCTGCAGGGCGCGCTGGTAATGAGGCTCATAAAAGAAGCCGGACGGAACACTGCTGCCAGCAGGCAAAGCTTTGAGTTCTACGTGAGCTTGCTGCAGGACTTTCTGGACACAAGCTGTGAGCTCAGTGATGACCAAGCGCTTCTGGCTCTCCTTGGCTTTGCGGCCCAAGGTTGCCATCTCCAACGCCGCTGAATAATCTAAACCCTGAAGATCCTGGCAGTTCAGCAGGATCCACATGGGACCTTCGGCCGCATCCATGAGCTCTCGTAGTGCATCCGTAAAAGCTGGAGTTGAAGCAAACATGAGGAAACCACTGACATGCACAACTTCGATCAGGTGCCCCAACTCTTCCAGTGCCGAGTGCTCGTCAAAGCCTCGCGTACAAATGGCTCGATAAAAGCGAGCATCTCCGGAGGTGCGGATTCCTACCTGCGAGCCGCTGTAGCGAACCGTGAAGAAACTCATGGCCAGCAGTGTCCCCACGAGAAGCGCATCGTTGAAGCCATAAAACTTCACCATGAAGGCCATCACAGCCACAATGAAAACATCGGATTTGTGCGTGTGCTTGGAGCATATGTCGACAATTGTTTCCTTAACGAAAACGAGGCCAAGCCACATGAAGAGGCTCCCAGGCAGGATTGGCGGGAGACGATGAAGGAATTTCGACACGAGGAAGAGACATAGGACCGCGCCAAATGTCAGGAAGAGACCGACAAACCTCGTACGGCCACCCAGACGGTGGCAGGTCACGTTCAGCGAGCAAAGAATGTAACAAGGCCACCCACCCCCGACCACAACACTTAGCAGATTGCCAACACCAATGCTGCGGAGCTCCTTGTCCAAGCTAAACTCACGCTCCGTGAGGAGCTCCACAGCCTTCAGGTCCATCAGCCTAAAGATCAAGGCGTTACAAATGCAAGCGACAGGATGACAGGATGCCCAGCTGTTTTCATGCCTCACCACTCTGAATCACGTGGTGGTGGTGGCAACTGGAACCACCATACTGCAACCAGATGGTCCGTACTACCATTGGAAAGCGGTCCTATCACAACTGGTCACAAAGCGATCCCTACTGCAAAACTAAGACCATGTATTGGATTATCATGAGAATAAAGAACTTCTACCATAAAACAAATTAGAAAAGTGCTCTTGAGCGGGTGGTCTTGGAGGGCTCTCAACAGAGCCCTCTTGAGTAGGTGGAGGGCCTTTGGAATAGTATTCCCGAGTGGGTGGAGGGCTGTTGGAAAAGTAAATGGGCCAAATGTGGTTCCTCTCGTACTGAATTTCAGAAATAGTCATGGGGGGCCAAGTGTTATAAGCAGGCCTGTTCTGGCCTATCTATCCCGCAATTCAAGAAAAGTCGTGCGCAAGTATTACCACCCGCTTTCGCAAGCTTCCTTGCCATACGCGGGGGTATGATGCCAAAAACAGTGAATTAACAATAACATCTGTCATGTTACTGACGTAGACAAGAGGGATGCGCCCGACAATCTCCGTGCGAAAGATTGCTCATCACTCTGAGCGTCGCTTCGTATCACAAGCTGAAGGGAACAGCATCATCATTTTCCATTTTGCAATGGGAGGAAAACAGCAATACCGGAATCAAAAATAGCATGTCGTGATGATCACAACTGGACAGCCCAAATGAGAAACCTAGAGCGCGACAGCCATTAGCTGGCGTCTGATGGTAAAACAAAATGCACTCGGCCAACGAAGATGCGAACAAAGAAAGGTGACAAAAGGACTAAGGAACATTAAGATCACGCAAACCACGAACGATTCACGAGTATGCAGCTACGTTTGATCATACTAAGTTGTTTGATGATGTGTAGCGCTGCTGTTCATGCATGGTTTCCAACTGCCATCGCGTCAAGTGATGTAGACGCTGGAAACAACGTCTCAACAGTGGTCCATGGGCAAAGGGAAAATCCATAACAAACAACAAAATTTCAGGGCTTTCATTCGAGAGGGGGATACAAATCCAAAACCCAGGGAATCAAATTGATTGTCATCATCAAGCCCCACCATGAGCATCAACTAAAGGTTGCGGCTAACACTGACTGGAACAAAATCGTTGGCTTCCACAAATGTACAACCATCTCGACGAAACAACAGTGACTAGCATGACTCCTCATCGAATATAAGAGGCCTCCGAACCCAACAAATTCCAACCATCAAGCCAAGCAACATCAGCAACGAAGCTGAAGCGGCGATGCCCATCATCGTTGGCACGAGCTCCATGATCACATGCCAGTGGATGAAGTCATAAGATGATGCGTACGCATTTACCAACTCCGTATACCAAGCCCCAGAGTCTGCTTGAGAAGATCCGGCATCGGCATGAAAAACCCATCCGTTCTGCTGGAGGTCTGACAACGTGCAAATTCCCAAGGAGTCCAGAACTGTAGGTGCAAGGCCAATCGCGAACAAGCTCAAGGCAATTGCGGCTGGTGAATGTATAGCTTCATCCAAAACGAATAGTAGCAGACCAAGCATAGCAGCAGGGAGACAATGGTGCCAAGCCGTTGAGTTTGGGATCCTGGAATCACTTGCAGACACGGCCAATGAACTGGATATCAGGAATAAGGCGACTCCAAACAAGGCGCCTTTCAAAACAATCAATGGCACAGCTCGGAGGTACTTTGCCAGGCCAAACCGTGCCCCAAGCAATAGAATCAAGCCAATACTGGTTGTGCACACAAAACAACTCGCAACACAAGTGGCTTGAACCTCTTCTGGAAGTGTGTCTGGCATCCTGGAGGCTACTGTCAGAAACATGCCGTGGAAGATCGGAATCATCTCAACCATCGGGCAACAAATGCCCGATTGAATGTCCGAAAAAAGCAATATGCCCACCTGAGCGCCAACTTGACTCAGAAGCCACACACTTATGCCACTGGGAACGACAGCAGCACTGCCACTTGGCGATGCCGGCATTCCGAATAGCAAAGTGCCATAGCTGACAGCATTTATTGCACTCATGAGAAGAACTACGCCGACAGCTGGAATTTCGCGCATGACGCTTGCAGCTTTGCCGGCTGGATTGCCGACTGGGGCATCTCCAGCCTCAGCAAAATCCAGCGACAGAGACGGCCCGCGAAGTGAAGGCCAATTGCGCGTTGGTTCCTGCACATGGTGGAACGTTTGCTTCGTCGCACAAAATCAAATCAGCATTGAAAACTTCTTGCACAAACCTTGTAATCTTCAACGGCTTCAAGCAAAGCATGCTGCAGCATGGCGCGGGCCGTGCACCAGCGGCTACGTGTAGCGTACTCAAGCCAATGGTACCGCATGCACGGTGAAACAACGCATCTAGCATATTTTAATCTGAATTTGCTGCCATTTCCAAACTCTATGCAGGGCTCGCTTGCCAAGACCTTCGTGCTTGCTGCGCGTGCTTCAAGATGGAAGAGGACACAGCATACAAACAAGTAGCTTGTTGTTTCTCTGATGTCCCCGAAAATTGCCAAACCATCCAAACTTTTGTGTGAGTTGTTCACATGCCCCACCGCAAGGGTACGGCGTCGATTGGCCTGAAAGTTGCTATTAATCTTGCACGTGAAGGTACGGGGGATGCTGCGCACAAAACCTGCCCGATTCACAGCAAAATTCGAGGACATGCACAATGCAGTTGTGAACCACCCCCCGTGCAAAACACGGTGGGTTCCTTCTCAATATTGATAGGATTTGCCAAACAGTGAGTTAGCAAAGAAAACCCGCCGGCCCCCATGCGTTGAACATAAACGAAAATCAAGCCATGCACCATCTTGTTATGTCATGCTACGTCGCGACAAAATTTCTCAACCAACACTTGAGAAAGATGACAAAAAATTTGGGACGCGGGGGCTGCCTTTATCATCACCATGCAACAGAAATGGTATCCCTTGCTGCCTGCAAAGGGAGCCTTGTTCTTTACGGCTGCTGTTGCATTCGTTGGAAAGCTAAGCGTGTGACAACCTGTGGTTCAAAATGTCCGCAACCCCACCTGCACAGGCAGCTAGGTTTTGAACAATGTCAAGTCTGCAACAGCCATGATGACGAAGCAAGCGCGGAACCAATGACGCCAGGGTTGGAAATTGTTTCCGGCAGAGTGTCAACTGAAAGCATCACCAAGGTTGTGAAGGTTGGAATTCAAGCTGCCATATCCCCCCGTGGAATCGCATGGAAGCGCATTGCAATCAAGCAATAACAGCTGCCTGGAACATGCTGAGACAGTGATTACTGATCAAGGCGTTCGGCTTGAAAAGCTGGAGCACGCCTATCAGGACGTGTCTGCCAATGGTGCGACGCAGAACAAAAACACAAATGTTCAGGTGTGCCAGCTCCAACAGCACTTGGCCGATTTCCAATCGCAAGTTGATGAAATAAAGGGCTACACAACGCAATCCCAAACCGATGCTAGCTGCAAGCAGCCCCTGGGCCAAGTGGGAAAGCTTACAGGGGCCATTGCCTCTTAACGTGCATAGATCATAGAACATTCAATGAGTTTGCGCGCAACAAAGGGGATCAACGTGGATGACGCTAATTCGAACATGAGCACAACGGACAATTTGATCTTTCAAATTTCCCGTGGGGACGACGGCGTTTTGCAGCGCAGTTGGGTACATGAGTGGGCAAATTCGGTGGGATTGCAAACCTTGCTCAACAAGACCAAGCAAGTCTTGTAAAAGCCAGCCATGGGCACGGGGAAGATCACAAGCAAAACCTCTGACCGGCAGGGACCTGGGCACAGGGGCAGAAAGTTTGTTTCACCAAAATTGGATGTAGCAGGTCATCATTAACATTTTTGAGCAGCGGAACCGTCTGTTGAACAGTTGGGACGAGCTATTCTGTTGACCTGCCCAGATCTGCCCAATATTGGACAAGCAGCTGCGCCATGGCCGCTTGCATTTGCAGAACAGTTCCGCGGTGGCCGTTTGCAAATGTCACCTCCTAATCTCCGTGTTGCAAAATGGAATGTGGAGTGCCACCACGCGGAGGAGGTGATTGGCTGGCGCCGCACCGCAATAGTGCCGGAGCAATCATGCCGCATGACGGTTTTCAACTGCGGGGATGGCATGCAACAAACGGTCCAAGGCCTTCCGCTGCAGCGCGAACCGACGCCATACAACAGCATCACGTCCGAGCACCGTGCCCAAGACTTTGCGACCTGGTTGGTCACGGAGCAATGCCCAATCACCAACCCACACAGGGTCGCCATTTACCGGCTGCATGCGGGGCTTGCCTGTCCGTGCCAGCGGAGACGATGCTCGCATCAGCGGCGGGTTGTGACCCGTGCCAAGGGGACAGTCCGTTTGTGACCCTCGTGTATGCCTGCATGTTCATACAACATCCGGATCTCGCGTGGTGCGATTCATGCCCCATGAAAACGCCCGTATGGGCGGGCATTAAAGTGTCTTGCTACATATGACACATCGAAGCCTATGTTCGGATTGTCGCTACAACCACCCGACCAACTCCTGGAAGAAGGCATGGCGGGTTTCTAATGATTTGCCGTTGCGCGGCACGTGCACGTTGCACAGCGCCCCCTTTTCGCCAGGAACCCGGAAATTTGTTTCTCCTTCAAGCCAATCATGTGCGCCGAGCGCGGCTGATAACTCGATTGAGGAACAGCATTCGCCACCGTACTTCCTTACCGGCGTGCCATGTGAACCACCCGGTACCCCCGGGCGCGCTGCAGACAGCACGTTTGCTGCCTGTTTTGGCGGGTTCGGCTTGCGCTCGCCGATTTCTGACGGCCTTGCAGCATACTGGTCATTTTAGTGCGATGCGCTTACTGTCAGCAAGGCCCAAAAAGCTGCTGCACGCATGGTGCAAACACTGCAGGGCCCGCTCCGCTGCCCAACACGCGTCTTTGCCCGAGGCTACACAATGCCGCTGCCTCTCGAACACTGCTGCTGTGAAAGGACTGGCCGCATGCCTTCATGGTATTACCCACACACGAGGACGTCGTTTACGCCTGCCACTCCCAATTCCCACCGGCCGCTTGATCGCGCCAAGATGCTGCAACGGTACCGGCGCACCTGCGGGGTGGCCCAAACTGTCTGTCGGGCTGCACCGAAGGGGCCAATGTGGCTGTGGCGGAACCAGTACGGACAGTATGGTTTTCAGCGGCAGTCAGCCACGAGCTCATGCAACTTTAATTACTTTAGTTGTTTTCACTGTCGGTCTTGCAGCTGCGGCCTCTTTGCTTGCTTTTGCCCGTTCGCATTCCAGCGAAACTGTGTGCTTCAGGAAAAAACCTAGGAAAATGAGACAACCTAAAACAACACACATTGTTCATGGAATAAGGAAACGTAGATATGTCCTTGCAAACATGCATAAAAATGAATGGGAAACCCAGATGTTCCCTGGCGGTTCGTTTCTGATATGTTTTTTCGTTGTATGTTTTTCATAAAACACCCGCAAAGCCGGGCGAAGCAAAGAACACAGGAAAACCGGGGAAAGACAAAAATTCAACATGTAAAATAGCCCGAGAGCTGTGGAACACCTGCTTTCCTTTGTTTTCTTCCTTTTCGTTGTGGCTGTACGTGTCGTCCGTGTTGTTTCAATAAGTTCACTGTCCTTAATGGTGGTGCTAGTTTCCCCTGCAGAGCAGGGAACATCCTCACCTCCGGCTGCAGCCCGGGCACACTAGTGAAATCTAAGGAAAGCATATTCATTTTCCTATGTTTCACGGGGAAGGACCGAACTCTCATTTGGCCCTTCGATCCCAAAAGGGAATTTTTTTTTGTGGTTCAACCTTTTTCCGCTTGCGTTGCATGTCCAGCATCTCATCGCGACTCGCACCTGGTCACGATCATTTTTGCAAGAACACCTTGCTAAATGTTCGGAACATCGGGGACGCGAACGACCCAGCGCTACTTCGTATTGTGTTTGGAAACCTTGCATGGAACCGAATCTACAAAAAATGTTTTTACTATTTGAGGCTTGGAATCTGGGTTTGGGATACGTCGTGCTACATGCATAACATTTTTTTTCCCTCACGCACCTTTTTCCGCAGCTTGACCCAAAACCCCGGTCCCTGTGCAGGCCTTGTTGGCCACATGCGTTTGCTCACGCTGCGCGTGCCGCGACTCGGCTTGTGGCAGGAGCAGCAGTCCAGCGTGAATCCGCAAGGACCTCATGCAGTTCGGGCTCAGGGCCGCCGCTTTGGCATTCCCCGTGCAGCGGCAGCTCCAGCAACGATGTTGCTCGCTGCGCTGCGCTGCGACGGAGAGAATGCCACTCCGACGCTGCACCCAGGCGCCGCGGGCAGCAACACGTAGGGCCGCAGGCCCCGCTGCTGCGCGTGCGCGCGCAAGTAGGCGGACGAACTGCGCTGCCTCGCGC